CGAAGGAGGGAAAGAGAATCACTCTGGAGAGCTGGCAACGTCAGCGTCCTTCCGGTCCTTTGTAGGAATTCTCGATCCACCAAAGGCAAACAAGGTTCGAGCCCCTATAGGCATGGGGTCTGGCGTGGAGAGTGCTCGGTACACCGAGCTCGTCTCAGTGGCCAGCCCTGGGCCGGGGTGGGTCCAAGGTGCACCCCAGAGCCTGGTGTAGTTCAGTTTGGAACAGAGACCTTGGGGACTCCGGGGTGCTAGTGGTGACCGGAGAGGAGGCTGGTACATGCGCCCCTGACACTCTCCTTTCTGCCCCCACCCCGTGCCTGAAGGGCATGGCAGGGGCTCACCCGACCTGGCCAGACCCGGTCCGGGCTCCAGCGGGCCCTCCACACAGTCCTGGGGCCGTGGCCAGTAGCACTGGTGAGCTGCAGGTCAGACCCAGGGAGCGGTCAGCAGGCCTGGAAAGGGTTAAGTCCATAGGACATGTGCCTGGGACCCAGCTGTTCCCTGTGGGCGTGTGGATTTACAGCCTCCGGGGCTGGGGGCTGCCAAGCCTGTGCTGGGGGGAGACTGAGCTCAGGGAGAGAACAGGCAGGGTCCTCGACATGCAGCCGGGGCCTCCCACGCAGGCGCCACCAGGCAGGGCAGGGACAGAGGGGCCGGGGGCCAGGAGCAGACAGGGCCCCACTGCAGACACCGGGATGGTCGGGGGCGGAGCTGGCCCTGCCTGTCCCGGGCCTCTGCCCACTGGGAACAGTTAACACAGCAGGGAAGCTGTCTGGGAGCTCAGATTTAATTCCAGGTCAGGGTATGATGCTGGGCTGCTCTGTGCCTCGGTTTCTCTCCTCCTAGGCACACCCTGCACGGAGGGTTGATCATGGACCCCAACAGCATCCCCGTTCTGATCCCTGGAGCCTGCGCCTGTCATCCTCAGGGGCCAAGACTTGGCAAGTGTGGTTGTGTCAGGGGTCTCCGGGCCGGAGAGCACCCTGGGTAATCCAGGTGGGCTGTCGGCGTGACCCACAAGGGACACAGAAGACCAGGCACACGAAGGTTACAGACAGAAGAGGCAGTGGCAGTGTGGCCACAGAGGCAGAGGCAGGAGTGACGTGGCCACCAGCCCAGGGGCCCTTTAAGTCACCAGAAGCCAGAAGAGGCAGGGCGTGATGGTGACCCGGAACCTCTAGAGGGACCCACTCTGCCTACACTGTGACCTCAGCCCGGTGTCGGCCCAGTGAGCCCCGATTTGGGGCGCCTGGCCTCCAGAACAGGAGACGATACATTCCTGTTGTTTTAAGCCATTTGCCACAGGGCCCCCAGGACACGGGGGTCACACTCTTTCTGCCCTTGGGCTGCAGAGAGCCCGGCTGGGTCTGGCTCCTTGCAAAGCTGCTCTGCTTCTTTCTCAAGTTCATGTTCCTGCTGTTTGCACTTGTAAGTGGCCAAGGATGGTCCCAGCCCGAGACGTCGCAAGCTGTGCTGAGGTGGGAGGTGGGGCGTCCCGGCTGCAGTCGCCGAACTGCTCTTCCTGACTCGGTGCTCGGTGCCCTGTGACTCCCGGTCACCAAGGTCCTGGGCGGAGCCCTGAGCGTGTCCTCTGTGCTGGTCAGGCCCCAGGGGCTCTGTCTCCCAGGAGACCTAACCCACTTTCTCAAAAGGCAAACTGCCGGAAGTGGGGAGGGGATAGGATGGAGATTCCAGAATCTCAGCAGCTCGGCGAACCCTTACTGAGGTCCCCCCAGGGGCCAGCCCCAGGCCAGCCCCAGAGATAACAGTGGGGAGAAGGTGGTCCCTCCGGAGAGGGGAAGCAAGGAACCTGGGTTACCGGAGGGGGCCTGCCGGGCTCCGTCCACCCTCCCATCTCTGAGTGCCAGCCTCCTTTGGGACGGGGACGCTAATACTGCAGGGACGGGAGTCTCTCCAGCCACGGCCCCGTGTAGGACAAAGCCCTGGTGAGCCACTCATTCCTGTCTGACTGCAGGCGGCTTTCTGTCCGGGGGTCGGGCGAAGCCAAGCGTCTAGACTCTCGCACCGCGGCAGGAGCAGACGGTCACAGTCCACCGTCCACACCCGTATCTCCTTTGCCGTGCACGCCAACTCTCGCAGCCCCTCTAGGAGGCCGGCCGCCACCATCCCGCTGCCATAGGGCCACAGGTGCCTTGCCCAGGTCGCACAGCTAATTGGAGGCATAGCGGGGCTCCCCGCTCAGGTCTGTGACCAGAGCCTCACCTGGGACACGGACACGGCCCCCTCCCTGCGGCCCTGCAGGGTCCCTCTCACCTTGAGAACTCCCCTAGAGAAGCAACCAGATCGCCCTGGTGGGTGAGGCTCCGTGGACTGAGTGCTGGCCTGATTCAAAGATTGCTGGTTCGATTCCCAGTCGGGGCACATGCCCGAGTTGCAGGCCAGGCTCCCCAGTTGGGGGCCCTTGAGAGGCAACTACACATGGATGTTTCTCTCCCTCTCTTTCTCCCTCCCTTCCCCTCTCTAAAAGTAAAGAAATACGACCTAAAAAAAAAGTAGCAACCAGAGACAGAAATGGAGATTTCAGGAGGCAAATGTATGTACAACAGCAAAAAATGGAAAGGACACTGTTCAGACAGACAGCCTGGCTCATCAGTAAGTAACAGTAACCGCACCGGGGGAGACCTATCCGGGCGTGGCTTCCTAATGTGACGCGCTGGTAGGACAGGAATTGGGACGGAACAAACGCACGTGGACGACCCCATGCTTGCACAGTCATTACACGTAGCGTCACACATGTGTGCATAGAGATCACGTGGAGGGGCGCACACTGAGATGCCCCTGGCGGGACCACTGCCCACAGTGCCCCTGCACCCCCTCTTCGGGGAAGGGCCAGTTTCCACACGCCCGAGCCCCGCAGGTCTGCCCTCCTCTCTCCTGCTGCTATTCGGGCCCAGACTCTGGGGGAAGCCCCTGCTCCCCGCCCCACTCGCCCTGACCAGCTAAAGCTGCCCCTCCACCCACGGCCTCCCCACCCCCAGCCCCATCAGATTTCCAGGGGCCGGGCTGGGACTTGCCCCGTCTCTTTGTCCCTCGGATGACTCACGCAGCCACGCAGCCGCGGCAGGCGGGCAGGGGTGAGGCAGGGCTGCCCGGGCCAGGGCAGAGACAGTGGCCGCAGCCCCGCCCTGGCCATCCAGCATGTGCAGACCCAACTGAGCAAAGTTTTCCATCTCGTGCATGTCTGCTGGCACTGCCCGGCCTGTTTGTGCCCTTGCCGAGGCCTTGACCCTGCTCTGCGGTCCAGCCAAGTGTTCCTGAGGCCGGCGCTCCTTCTCCAGAGTCCGGAGTTGCCAGAACAGCGGGGGCAGCCCTGGGACCCAGGAAGCAGGCCGTGCCCTCCCCACAGAGGGCACACACGTGGCATGGGAGCCCCATCTCCATGCCCAGAATTCTTGGGGTCTGGGGAAGCCACGGACCCTTACAAATGCTAACCAATCGTCCCTACCACAGCCGCCGCCGCTTGCAAGGGATCTGAGAGCAGCTCACCTCCCTCCCCGTCCCCCCCCCACACCCTCCCGCAGGGCTGGACCCCCCTGAGTGCAGGGAGAGACTGAAGCTGGGTTTGGAAGGAGCCACTGCTTCTCAGGGCCAACAGGGCCGGGTGTCCTCAAGAGACAGAGCACCAGAAACTGGGGCTGCCTCCCCCCTGCTGTGCATGCCCCTGACACCCTGCAGGCCATGCCTTCTGCCGCCCTTCGCCCCCCAGCTCCCAGAAGGCTCCCTCAGAGAGCGGTGGAGGCCAGCACGGGCAGGGCACAGGCTGGGCCTGGCGCTCCCTGGCTGCCCATGGCCGGCTCTGTGGCCCCAGCTGGCACTTTGCGTCCCCACTGAACTTGGCTCCTCGGGGCAGGGCTCCGCCCAGGGCCTGCCCACGAGGCAGAGGGTGTGCTGGCTGAGCCCCTGGAGCCAACTGCTCCCCAACACTCTCCTCTTCCAGAGGGCCCGGTGTCTACTTGGGGCCCGAACCCCCGACGGGGGCTGCCCGTGGTTGGAATGGAAGAGCAAAGACTCGCTTTGGGGGGCCGAGAAGCTCACCCTTCCCCATTCCACCCCCCAAGTGTCTCTGACCCTCCACACCCCACCCCTCTCCTGGAGCGCACCCAGACACTGCGCTGACCCCCACACTCCAGCCAGGACCCCAGGTCTTTCTCCGGTCTCATGGGGGCTAAAGCAGGAGAGGGGGCGCGTGTGGCACCTCGGGACCAGGCTCTCCAGGGGACACGCGTGCAGCCACGTGAGACCATGGACGCCATCTCTGTAGAGCTGCCCGGGGTCCCCTCACCCCCTTCACCTGTGAGGTGTGGTTCCTGCATAGGAGGAGAAGCTGGGCCTGGGGCTCTGGGGGCCGGGGCGAGGACAGGCTCTGGTTGGACGGTCAGAGGACCATAGCGGGGACAAAGCGGGCTGGGGGCACAGAGAGGCTACAAGAGAGACTTCCCCTTTGAAGAGGACCTCTGAGCCCCCTCCGCTGCAGAGGAGGCCGCCGTGTCGCCCCAGGGGAGGCGGACACCAGTGGGCGGTGCAGACAGGTGGGCTGACGGCCTCGTGGAAAGGCCCGGGTCCCGATTACCAGGCTCCACGCAGCCCGGGGCACCACGACTGTACCTCAGTTTCCCCCAGGCTGACCTGGCTCCTCCTAACTTGCCCGTAAGGAGCAGGCCCTGTGTAAAGGTTCCAGGCCCAAGTCTGCAAACTCCGGAGAGCACTCTGCCCAGAGGCTGGACCGCTGCCCGGGACAGCAGGGGAGGCCCCCCCCTACCGGAGAGGCTGCGACCGAGCCGGCCGGGCCTGGGAAACATCGGTCGGTCCAGGCCCTGCAGTCGCCCCTCCCTAGGACCACTGAGGCCAAGTCTCCTGGCGTCATGCTCCCACCCAGGTCGGGGACTTCAGGACAGGCTTCGCATCAGGAAGGTGGGGTGAGGACGGGGGTGCCCGGAGCACTGGGTCTTTGAGGCCGAAGAACTTGGAGCAGCAAACAGTGTGGCCACTGCCCCCTGCAGGGCGTCTTCATTTGGGGACAGGCATGAAATGGTAACGGCAAAGCCCCCGCCCCACCCGGCCACCTCCAGGCCCAGCACCCCAGTGGGGGCAGAAGGGTGGGGCAAGGGAGGAAGTGTGCAAAGAGAGGGCCTGAAGGGGCGGGGGTCCCAGAGGGACCTAAGCAGCAGGAGACCCCCCAGTGTGGGCCTCAGGCCCATCAGCTCCCCCCACCATGGTCAGTCCGGGGGCAGTCCCCTGTGTCCTGAGGCTGAGCGCACTGGCCCCCTCCAGTGCGGCGGCACGCCAAGGACCAGCAGTCTGCAGAATAGGGAGCCGGGCCCTGGGGTGGGGGCTGTCCCCCCAGGTCTCCATCAAGGTCCATCGGTCAGGCCTGTGGCTGGAAGGCCCTTAGCTGGGGACGCATCCTCCGAGGCGGAGAGGGTCCAGGGGCCGAATCTTCATCCTCAGCCCCGAGAGGCCTTCTGCCCTTCTGCCCAGAGTGTCAGACCCTTCAGCTCCAAAGCCTCTTGTTCGAGACGGTGACTCTGCCTCTCCAGGTGGAGCCCGGTCAGCCCCCGAGTGCCACCGGGGGCCAGGACGCTGCCAGGAAAGAAAGAGTGTCCACTATGGGCCGCGGTGAGCCGGCTCCCCAACTCTCCCGCACCGGGGCCAACACAGAAAATAATGTTTGTCGGCGCACAGTGGTCAATGGGGGAGCCCGCCACCCCCCCAGGACGTGAGGGCTCGGGGGGTCCAGTCTCGGCTGACTGCCACCTCCAGTGAGGGGACGCCTACAGGAGGGTCAGAGAGGGGTGCGGCCTGCAGGGCAGGGAGGCAAGGAGCTGGGGGTGAGAGCCAAGGGGGACTCGGGTTCTCAGCAGGGAAATTAAAGCCGGAGTGAGCGGTGCAAGCAGTTCCCGCCCCGCCCCCGTTCCCGGAGGAGGGAGTGGCATCTGGGGCAGAGGGCACGGGGTCGGGAGCCAGGCGTCCACGTTCTATTCCTGGTCTCTCCCCTGGGCCTTTCTGACCACAAGCTGCCCCCGCCCACTGCTGTTGGGGGAGGAAGACCGGACAACTCACAAACCGAGACCCCCTGCCTGCCTCCATCCCCCCTGCCCGCCTCAGGGCCCCGCCCCCTCCAGCTCAGCCCTAGAACCCAAAGCCCACTGTCAGCAACCGCTGGTGGAGCCCAGGCCGGCACACTCAGAGCCCTGCCGCTGAGGCCCCTCCCGGCCAGAGGGGCTCCCCAGTCTCTCCGTGACCCCCCCCCCCAGGACCCCAGTGGCAGAGGGAGGCCATCTTCCTGCCTCAATTCCAAGCTCTAACACTCCTGTGAGGAGCATCCATCCTAGGGGCAAGCTCCCATGCCTCCCACCCTGGGCTCTCCCAGCTCAGGGGAGGCACTGCCCGGGCACTCGGCCCCACGCAGCAGCAGGGGCCCAGCAGGTGGGGGGCCGTGCGTGCCAGTCCCCCTCCACCTGAGTCACAGCAAGGCCCTGCCTTTCAGGGAGCGCAGGGCCCTGCCTGGGGCTCCTGGGCCCCTGCCATCTGGTGGCCACAGGATGGTCTGGCTTTAAGTGCCATGCTGGCAGGAGTCCCCTTCTCTCTGGACCAGAAAGAAGGAGGGAAGCAGGGGGGCTAGGCCCCAGAGGGCTTACCCGACGTGCCCCGGTCGCCGGCTCCGTGGGGAGTAGGGAGGTAAGGTGATACGCCTGGCCGTTCAGGACACCAGGGTTCCAGTCCCCAGGCTCTGTCTGGCACGCACTGTCTCGATGGCTTGCTGGTTCTTGAACTTGACCAGGCCCAGGGTGATCTGGGCATTCCAGCCGGGGTCTTCGAGGGGACAGCGGAAGTCGATCTCGCCGCCACCCTCGGTCACCAGCGTGAAGTAGATGTGACGGCCGGTGCTCTCCACGCACTCCACGGCCTTGATGCGCGCGAAGCTGAGCTCCTTGGGCCGGCCGCCCGTGCCCTTGGCCTCAAAGAGCTGCAGCCCGCGTTCGGTGAGCACGCAGCGCTTCCGCTTCCACTGCTGCAGGAGGCCGCCGCTGCGCTTCTCCAGCACACCCTCCTTCAGCACCGTCGCCGCCGCCGTCATGGGGCCGGGGCCCGGGCCCGGGCCCGGGGACGCAGCTGCGGGTCGCGCGCGCGGTGCGCCCTGACTGCCCGCGCCCCGACCGCTGGTGCGCGCGCCCCGGCGTCCGCTTGGTCACCCCGCGCCCGCTTCGGCCGCAGCGGCCCGCCGCCTTTGCCCCGTGCGCCCAGCCTCGCTCGCGCCCCTGCCCGTTCGCTGGCTCGCCTGGGCTCTGTCTGCGCGCAGGGCGGTAGCTCCGGGGACTTGCCCTTACTTGTCCCGCCGCTGCCTCCTGCGCGGCGCATTCCTGCCTCACTGGCCCTCCCTCCGCACTGCGCGCCCGCCCGGGCACTGCCTCGGGGGCGGGGCCCGCCCGGGGCTGCGTCACTCCCCGAAGCACTAGGGGCGGACAGGAGGGCTGGTAGGGAGCAGGGGCCGCTTACACAACAGCCCCAGCCTCTGGACCCCCATCCGCTGCTTCTTGGTCCCCCTGCTCCACAGGCCCTGGCTGCAGGGGGATACAGTGCGGGAGGAGGGGCAGACTTGCACCCACCCTCTGGCACCTGCATGGTGGGCGCTAGGCAGCCGCTGGTGCTTTTGAACCGCTGCCCCCTTTCCCAGCGTGGCCCGCTCCCCCCCGGCGTTCCGCAGCCAGAAACTTGAGAAAGGTCCTGGGGTGGGGGTGGGGTGGGGGAAGGACGGGGAATGCAGCCTCCCCCGGCGGCAGGGTCCTCTGTGCAGGGTCCTCAGAGGCGCCTACAGCTGTCCCTGAGGGGAGGACCCACCCGTCCTCCCAACCTGTCCCCCAGAGCTGCAGCCCCGTAGAGGGAAGCCAGGGTGAACCCGGGTGAGGCACCTCGAGGCCACTCAGACCCTGCTGGGTGGAGGAGGGACCCTGGTGACCAGCTTGCCTCCTGTCCTTCACACCCACTGGGAGGGCCCCGGGCTCAACCCCAGGCCTTCGTCCCCCTCCAGGAGGAAAGGACACCCCCGACACACTGAGCCCTAGGGGGCTTCACTCCCTCCACTGCCTGAAGGGCGCTTGGCGGAGCTGGGCTCGGGCCTCCCGCTGGGCCCTGCCCACCTGGGGCAGCTTCACTCCTGTCAATGTCCCCATCTGTCACTGGGGGGATGAATTTATTCCTGTCTCCAGGTGCTGAGGTGAGGTCGCTGCTGTGGAAGGCCTGGGGCGGACATGGCCCGAGGTAACTCCCACGGCCTCAACAAACGTGATTCCCCGCCCCCACTGCCCCGGCCTTAGTCGGGGAGGGGGCTCCGGGTGCCGCCCAGCCTTGGAAGGCACGACTCTGCCCCATCTTGCCCTCCCATGTCTCAAGGGCCTAGTCATTGACGTGTTAATCACAGATGATTATGGAAATAATGATACTTAGTAATGACACTAATAATATCTCTTTGTCCCCACACCCAGGGTTCCACCCACTGGGGCCGAGCCTAACGGCAGGAGGACAGGAGGAGGGTCCCGTGTGGAAGGGGCGCCCTGCCCTGCAGCGCCTGGCCCAGGAGGTGGCCAGGGGTGGGGCTGCCAGTGTCCCATTCACAGTTCTCCAGCCCGTGAGCTACAGGCGCCCCCCCCCAAGGACCATGAAGTCCCCAACCCACTCCGGGAGAGCGGGAGGAGGGGGGAGCAGCACCGTGAAAAGGGGGGGAGCCAGAACGGGCATTTCCTGAGGCTCAGAGGGGGCTCAAGGTGCCCCCCATCCTGACTTAGGGACCTCCAAGGTCTCAGCCCTCCGCCAGCCAGCAGAGCCCTCCTCTCTCCAGCCACCCCCTCCCGTCCCTCCGTGGGAGTCCCCCGGCAGGCACGGTTTTGTTATCTCTGTCACTTCCTGCTCTCTGGGCACCAGACCTGGGATGCCCGACACTGTCCAGCTGCAGGTTAGTTCGCCGATACCTCTCACAGGTGTCCAGTTCTCAGGATGAGTATGGTTTTACTGAGGAGCAAAACAAGGCTCAGAGAGGTCAGGCAACCTAGATAAGGTCACACGGCTTTGCCCATGACACAGCTGGGACAGGAGTGAAGTGTGTCCAGGAGGACCCAGCTCTGTGGATGACACCACACCACGTCCAAGTAGGTGTCTACAGCCCATGTCCCCAGCGGCCTGTGAGGGTCCTTGGAGCCTGGGATTCCTGCCCTCAGGTCCCATGCCCCCCCTGGGACGAGCAGGTGACCTGCTCTGAGCAGGTGACTCGTTCTGAATCTTGCCCCAGGATGGGCATCTTGCCTGGTAGTCTCGTCTGGGGGAGGCACAGGCCCCAGGCAGATGGCTTGGGCCATTTGAAGGGTCAGAGGCTCTGGGGGCCAGGGGTGCAGGCTGCGGGGGCCGGTGCTCCCTCCCTGCGGGGCGCCCCGCCCCCACTCTGGGAGAGGACCTCTAACTTAGCCTTTCTGGGGCACTGGCTGGGGCAGCGCCGGGCCCCAGGGACACTCGGTTCTTACTGACTTGCTGCCTCCACACTGGATGTCCCCTGGCTGCCGCCCGGAGCCGGCCCCTCCCTCTGCCCACCCTGCAGGAAAGCCAGTCTGCACCCGTGGGTCTGTCCACACCCACCTGGGACGGGCGGGCCCAGGAGCCGCGTGCTGGAGCTGCTCCAGCCAGGTCCGGGCGTCCCCAGTGTGGGGATGGAGTCTGAGTCCCTTCTGGGGCCTCCCAGGATGGGGTGGCAGAACAGCGGGAATGGGGGCGCCCAGAGGGGCACAAAACGTAACACAGCTCCCTGGAAGGCTCCTTATGAATTCCGATTAGTGGCCACCTGACGGGCCTGCCCTTCTTTCTGACCCCTGTCCCCCGACACCCAGGCTGAGCACGTCTGACTCCCAGCAAGGAGAGATTCCTCCGGCTGAAAGTGCAGCTTCTCCCTCAGTAGGTCTGGGATGGGGCCTCCCATTCCGCATCTCCAGAAGCTTCCACGTGACACTGGTGTTGCCAGAACGCGGCACACACTCTGGGTGGTGGGGGTCCAACCCGTGCTCCCTGGCCCAGCCTCACCCCTACACAGGGAGCCTGTTAAAAACCCATCGCCGGAGCTCCCCGGACCTGCCGGGCAGCCCCCGGATCTGGGGTGCAGACTCCCCGCTGTATGCAGGGTGTGGGGACCTGGTATGGAGGAAGGGGCCCTGAGCAAGGACACAGCGGCACCACCACAGCTCGGTGGCTGCTCTGCCGATCTCGGCGTCCTTCTCCTTCACACGGAGCCGTCTGGCCTGTATGAGGTTTGTGAGAATGCCCGCTGGTTCACGGGGGCCAGGGACTGTCCACCTCAGTGGCCCCTGCTTTCAGGTAAGGCCAGAAGGATGTTGCTCCTCCCTCCTCAGCCGACAGTCCGATTCGCCGGGCCAGGGGGCTCCTGCTCAGGCAGCCGAACGGAACCGGCTGCTTCCCGCCCCACCTGACCCTGAGCCAACCTGCCCCTCAAGCCTCCCCTGAGCTGCCCCACCCCTTTGATGTGGGGCCTCCGGTCCCAGGGCTGCGGTTTCCTCTCAAGGAAATAAGAAGCAGAAACAGATCAAGGCTTCAGCTCTCTGAGGACCTGGGCTTTATGGGCACCATTGCAACAGAGCTGGAGGGGGCAGCGCCCGGCCAACCCGCCCCGGCTTGCTCCTGGGCCGGCGGCTCTCTCCCTCGCTCTCTCTCCCTCTCGGTGGAAATCCCCGCCCACGCTCAGCCCTTTCATCGCCTTCCAGCTCAATTACTCTCCCGATTCCCAGGGACCCCTTTGGTCTGGAGGGCGCCCCCTGCCCCCGTTGATGAGTCCAGGCAATGGATGGCATTTGATCCCAGCTTGGGTCTGGCAGAGACAGGACTTGTGGGTGCGGGTTCAGGTTGGGGCCTGCAGAATTTCCCCTTTCCCAGGGCGCTGGCACCCGGGTGCCGGTGGTGTAAGGGCCCAGGGGCCTCCCCAGCATGACCCTTGTCCCCGCACTGGGCTGAGGGGCAGGGACACCAGAGGACTGGTTGATGCCCAGGGAACTCAGGGCCCCAAACAACCTGCCAGTGCGGCCGTGCAAACTGGACACAAGTGTTCGGTAAGTGCTGCGAGCCAGGCCCTGGGCTCCCCACTGGGACATGGTTCTCTCTCCTGCAGGGACAGGCCAAGGGGGGCGGTGGTGTCCCCGTCCTCAGCAAGCCCTGTCCAACCGAAGAGGACCCTAGAGTGAATCTTTCACTGGCTGAGAGCTTAACTGTGCAGAAACCCGTCCCCAGTACTGGATGCAGCTGCCTCAGCTGGAATCCCCACATCACCGCTGACGCTGGTGTGTGTGCTTGTCAGGACAGGCTGGGATGTGCCCCACTAACAAACTCCCCAAACCCCATGGGCTACACCCGGCATGGGCCACCCACTCAGCCCACATGTCCGACGTGGTGGACAGGGTCAGCCACCAGCCGATCCAGGCGCTCAGACCCTTGCTAGAGGCCCAGGGCGGTGCCCAGCTCACAGGCCAGCACAGGGCCAGCAGGGTCCACATCCTGACTCCTGCATCAGGCCGTGACACATCACCAGTGCACGAGATGGGTGGGTGGCACCCTCCATGACAGGTGATGAGTTTCACCCACAAGTGACATGTCTCGTCTCAACTCAGAGGCCTGAGCAAGTCTGCAGGGCCACATCTCACTTCACGGTAGGAAGAGAAGTGTGCACACAGAAGGGGCACACGTCTGATAGCCCTACAGGACTGGCAGTGTGGCCACCAGGGGGTTGCCCCCAAGAGGCAGGGATGAGCCACCCCCACCCCGGGCCCAGGACCAAGCCATGACCCTCTGGAGGAGTCTGGCTGAGGTCAACAGAGTGGAAATGCAGAAGGCTCAGGGCAGGTGCTTCGGAGACGGCGCCCAGGCCTGTCCAGGCACGAAATGCCCACAAAGGGCCTTATTCAGACAGCCTGCTTCCGGAATTTTCCTGGCCTTTGGGGCGCGTCGTCCCAGGCCCATAGACTCAGAAGCTAAGAGTTGGGCGGGTCCCTGAGTGCGGTCAGGGCCCCAGCGGCAGCGCCACCCTCCCCTGGGAGCTGGGGTGGGGGGCCCAGGGCGGGCGCAGGCCCCACCCCACCTGACTGAAAGTCATCTGCATTTTCACAAGGTGCGAGGTTCCTGGGAAGCCTCCTCTGGCATTAACCGAGGCCAAGGTCCCCATTTCACACCTGCTCTGGTGACACCCAGACAGGGGAGGAGGCTGGCCCAAAGTCGCACAGCTGGCTCCAATGTGGCCGCCACGGCTTGCCAGTGACTTTGACTATGTCACCCCCAAATTCACCAAACTGCAGTTTCTCCTTCTGTGATTAAAGAAAGGATCCTGTAACCACCTCACGCTGCTGACATAGGAACCAAATGAGACAACGTGGTTACTAGAGCCAGCCCGTGTGGGCTCAAGGCTGCTGCTGCTGCCAGGGTTCCCCCTAGCCTGGCTCCCCCACCTCCCTGCCCGCGGATTCTTCTAGAGAAGACGCCGGGGCAGAGTTGTGGGAGTGGGGCCTGGGCCCAGCTGCCTGCGTTTCTATCCGGCCCCGCCATGGGACCTCAGGCCGGTTCTGGACTTGCCCTTGGTTTGATCATTTGTGGTGGGTGTGATAGCAGCATCTACCCGCCGGGGTTATTGTGAGGACAGTGACTTAACGCCCTGAAGGTCCCCGAGAGGCCGTGGTGCAAAGTGAGCGCTCAGGACGGGTGGTGAGGATGCTTCCTAAACGCCCAGAGTAAAGGCTGGGGGTGGAGCCAGCCTGGAGGGGAGGGCCTTTCCCAGAGGGCGCAGCTTCCGCCCCGCCCCCTGACCTGCTTCCCAGCGCAGGTCCCCGTTTGTGTTTTGGCCCCTGCACAGCCGCGACCCCTGCCGGGTATGTTCGTTCTCAGCTGAAGAAAAGGCCTAGCCGAGATCCCCTGGCCTCAGTCGGGCACCGCTGGGCGGCCGGGCTGTTTGTCCCCGAGAGGGTCAGCCTTGGCGGGCGGGCAGCTGTCACGCAGGAGGGGGATTAGACCCGCGGGACAGAAATAGGAAGTTCCAGGAAGTCCTCGGTGATCGTCAGAACCCGTCCGAGCCCAGCTGCGGGTCAGCAGGGCTGAGCCTGGGGGCGCGGTGCCAACGCCGAGTCCCAAGCCCCGCCCAGGCCTTACGTCAGAGCCCCGGGGGCGGGGCCGGAGTCCTCTTTAAAAGGCTCCACTGATTCACCTAACTGGCGCAGAGTGGAGGCGGGGCCGGGGGTGGCAGGGCCAGGGCACGTCCCGTAGCCTCTCCCCGAGGGGTCTTTCTTCACCTGCTCGGCCCGCTGCTCGCCCTCACCTGACCCGGGGGGCGGCCCCTCCCACAGAATTTCCTGTCCTGCTCTGGGACTAAGAGCAGCTTGCCCCCCACCCTCCCTCCCTGTGCCTCACCGCCCCGTCCGGCTCCTCTGATCTCCCTCGGCAGCCCGCAGGTGACCCACACAGGTTGCTCTGGGAGAAGGGACCTCCTTGAAATTGGCCTCCGATCAGGAGGGCAGTTCTGTCCCATCGCCTTCTCAGAGCCAAAGAACAGCCACTCCTGCCCCGAAGCACCCGGATGCCCGCTCAGAGATGGGAGAACCGAGAAGCCCGCACGGACGTGAAGACCTCAGCCCCCTTCCTCCGGTCCGTTCCCAGGCGTGGCGCGCCGCAGGCCCGTCAGCGGAGGGCCCCCCCCACCCCAGGAAGAAGCTGTCACCTGGGATCCCGGAGGCAAACCCCGCCCCCCTGCCCCCCGCGGGGCCCTGGAGGGGAGGAGGGCGAGCGGCCGGGCCTCTGCCTCCCGTCCGGGCCCACAGCGCCACCTGCCGGAGGCCGGTCCCTGCAAGGGGGCCCGTTCCCGCTCTCCTAGCCCCTCCCCTCCCCCACTACCTGCCCTCGGGGGTCTTCTTGGCCAGCACCATGACGTACCCCGGCTTTGCTCCAATGAGGTACATGCAGCCCGCTCCCCACAACTGTGTTGGCGGGTGACTTCCTGCAGATTTGCCCGAGCGGCCAGCAGAGGGCACCCTGTCCCCAGCTCTGGGCCCCAGACTCCCATCCTGGTGTCTCCCAGGGCTGGGAGGTGTGTGGGACTGTCCATTCGTCCTCCTTCCCCCTTTCCCCGCCCACCGCAGACCTCTTGGGACCCCCAGACCTCACCTTGCACCGTGTGCTGCCCCAACCTGCCATAGCCTCGTTACCTGGCCCCGGGGCACTCACCCTAACCCTAACCCTAACCCTACCCCTAACCCTACTCCACATCCGTGTGGGTCCCATTCCCAGGGCAAGGAGGGGTCTGTCAGGCCGTGGCTGGACCTGTTCCAGCTCTGCTTATTGTATTCCAAACTCACAGGAAGGGTCGGGGAGCCCAGCCCCCAAACACCGGGCCGGGCCCCTTAGACAAAAGCCAGGCTCCAACAAGACCCCTCTGGGGGCCATTCACAAAGGGCCAGCCTTCCAGGGCTTGTCTGTGGGGGCTGAGGTAGACTGCATGTCTGTGACCCCCGAATTCGTGTGTTGAAATCCTAACCCCCCAGCTGACAGTGTGTGGGGGGGGTCTTTGGGAGCTGACTGGGTCATGAGGGAACCGCCCCTTGGAGGGGATTAGCGTCCTTCTAAAAGGTCCTGTCCTTTCCACTGCGTGACACCAAAGCCGGCCCAGGCTTTTATGTGGGACTTGCGACCCCTAGAACTGTGGTTAGTAGGCACCCTGTCTTATTAGCACAGCCCGAGCTGATGAGCGCAGGGCCCTAACTGTGCTGGGGCTGAGTCAGCCCCCTGCCCCCCACACTGGGCAGAGCGGGGTTTCTGGATCCCACAGGGAAGTTCTCGGGGCCAAGTGTTCCTGGCATGCTGGGACTTTCCAGTCCGGGAGAGGTTCTGGGCACAGCTCTGGAGCCTCACTGAGCCCCTAACGTCCCACAGCGAGTACAGCTTCATGTCCAGGTAGGGGGGCTCCTGCCACAGAGCAAGCAAGAGCACGGTGGTTCAGGCCCACTGGCTCGTGGCTCAGGCCGGTGTCCCGTCACGACCCCTCCCAGCCCAGGCCCAGACCCAGAGCTCTGCTCTAATGGTGTTTATTGACCAGATGGGGGATCTGCTCGAATGCACACAGCCCACAGCCCACAGCCCTCCCAGGCCACAGCTCCACAGTGTCCTCGTCCGGCCCTGGGAGCAGCGAAGCCACCCCTCCCCTGCTCCTGCTGCTTCTGACCTGGGGGCCTGGGAGGGTGGGGTGACCCTGGGGAAGGGCAGGTGGAAGGGATGAAGACCCACGTGGGGTGGTAAGTTTCAAGGTCTGGGTGCAGGGCAGGGGGTGTCCAGGAGACTGAGGCTGGAGCCTTCGCATCTGAGGCTCAAGCAGGCTTGGTGGCAGCTCGCTGGCCTGGGTGTGTGGGGGCGGGAGCAGTGCTCATGGCCACCTCAGGACCCCCCATCTGGGCCTCTGAGAAACAGAGGCCTGTGCTGGGGTGCTTCACAGGGCCACCCCTCCCATGGAGGCTGAGGCCACATCCTGACTGTGGTTCTCAGAGCCTGGTGATCTCCAGCCTCGAGGGAAGGACGGCAGCCCCCACAGCCTGGAAGGCCACGCCTGCAACCCTCCACCCTGTCTCGTGCCTCTCTGTCCCCTCGCCCTTGCCCAGTGACCCCTGAGCTGGGAGGCTCTCCAGGCCTGTCCATAGGGACGCCCAGAGGTCCACCCTCTTCCCTGCAGAGGCTCTGCAGCCTCCCCGCCAGCTCCAGGTCACAGTCAGACGATGGCGGACACTCAGACCAGGAGGGGGAGAGTGGAGGTAGGTGGGGTGGGGGTGGGTTCAGTTGTCCCACCAAACTGGAACTGCTGGGGTGCCTGCTGATGACAGCGGCAGACCCCGGGCAGGGGAGCCCCGGAAAGGAGGAAACCTAGGGCAGCCCCCAAACCAGAGGGCGGCAGACATCGAGTTCTTTTCACTAGTGACGTGTGGCAGGGCTGAGAAGAGGGGCCCGAGGCGGCTGGGGCTGCAGGAAGGGGGCAGTGAAGACAGCTCATGGGTGGGTGGCTGGTGGGCGGTGGGTGGGTGGTGGGTGGGCCGGCCTCACTCAGAGTGGACCAAGGCCCCCGCTCCTTGCCCGAAGCCAAAGCCCTTGGGCCCGAAGTTTTTAGCGTAGCATCCTGCAGATAGAAGAGACAGGAGTCAGGACCCTCTGCCTCCGGCCCCCCTCCCCTGCCCCACAGCAGACGCACCACCCCAAGGCCTGGCCCAGCCTCTGTGGCAGCGCTGTCCCCAACCCCAACAGTGAGGAAGCCTCAGCCCCACCCTGTCCAGCCCTACACTGCAGAGACGACCAGCAGACCCTGGCCTGGGGCTCAGGAACGGGCTCTGCCCCTCCAGCCCCATTTGCCCTGGGACTCTGGCCAAGTCACTGTCTCCTCCTGGGCTTGCCTCCCGTGTGACACGAAGGGTCTCCTAGATGCTCTGGAACTGTCCCCATGGCCCTGGATCTGCTCGCTCCAGGGCACCACCGCTCAGCCCGCACCCCGGCCACCTGTCCCCACACCGGAAGGGACTCGCCCACCTTTGCAGTAAATCTCTCCGTCCTTGTCGGCCAGGGTGGTTGACTCGAGACCTTTGCCACACTTGGCACATCGGAAGCAGGACTTATGCCAGGACTGTGTGGAAAAAACACAGTTAATGCCGCCCCCAGGGACGGCGGTGTCCCTGCTCCCAGGCCCATTCCCCTGACATAATGATTGGAAGTCTGCTCAGCCAGGGCTGCTGGGAAGACATGACCTGGGGCCGGAGAATGGAGGTGGGGCGGGGACCTCACAAGGTCTCACACCCTCGTAAGCAGCTGGAACATCAGCGCCACCAGCCACACCCATCAGAGTGGGCAGGCCAGGGCGTGAGACCATCACCGAGGTGCCTTCCCCAGACCTGTGGGACCAGCGGCGTGGGCAGGGGCTTGTGAGGCTGCACGGCCTCGGCCACTCCCTCCTCTGGAGGACTAGCGATTCCCACAGGCAGGGCAGGCTTTTGTCCTGGAGCCAGGCAGTCTCAGAGGTTCTAGAACAGGTGCCTCATCTGCCCGAAGGCCATCGCCCCTGGGAGAGGGGCCGGCAGTAGCTCCCTAACCAGGCCCCTGAGAGGACCACAAGGTTTTGGCAGGGGCCTGGCAGGCACAGGCCTGGCCTGGAGGAACCTTGAGCCAGTGGCTCGTGGTGCTGCTCTGGAAGGAGGCCGGTCTTCGCGGTGCTGTGAGCACAGCAGGAAGGTCCCAGCTTAGCTCCTCCAGGGGACTCGGGAAGCCCCAGTGGCTCTAAGGGGAGCTCAGAGGCTGCACAGGGCTGGTGGCCTGGCGGGATCACAGGCCCAGGTCTGTGCCCAGTGACGGAGCTGCTGGGGCAGGAAACTTCCCAGAGGCCGGCAGCAGCCCACAGGCCCCGTGGCTGACTGACTAATGTGCAGACAGCTCTGTGGGCCGGCAGGCAGCACGCGGGCCAGACAGCACCAGGCCTTTTAAGGGCAAAAAGCCTCCCTCAGCCAGTCCCTGTCTGAGGCTGGAGGGCGAGATAGGAAGCTGGACCTCCTGGGGTCCCCCAGCTGCCAGACTTCAGCAGACTGGCCCCTCCTCCCAGGCAGAGGCGGCCCCCAGACCTCACCCCACCCAGCGCCCCTTCTCTGCTCTCAGGGCTGGAGGAGGAAGGCTATCAGGCAGACCACCCACGGGCTGGGGCGGCCCCAGCCCGCCAGCTCCCCCAAATGCTCCTGCTCCTGTGTATTTCTTTCTTGGCCAAGGTCGGGGTGGGGGGCCTGGTGGGGGTACTCCCCCCTTAGCTCGGACCCAGAATTCCTCTTCCTGACTCCTTAGCAGAACAGCCTTCACTGGGACTGTGACCCACGCGGCGGGGGGGGGGGCACAGAAGGAGCAAGGAGCAGTTCCTCGCTACTTCTCAGCAACTTAGTATCCATATGAACATCTCCTGTTTTCACACCACTTAATCCATGGCAAGGGCCTCCCCTCTGACCTCACAGCCGTCCCCCAGAGCAAACACTAGCCCCAGCGACAGCAGCTGGCATGGTCCTCCCAGGAGATCTCATTGACAATGTCTTAAGGTCTCTCCATCCTTACAGACCAGAACTGGGGCTCAGAAGGTGGCGGGACCTCTGCAAGTCACACAACTAAACGGAAGAGCTACAGCCCGGCGAGCCAAGCTCCAGAATCCGAGTGTCAGGAAGCTGTGTCCCCGGCCCAGCCCTGTGCCTGTCCCGGCCCCTGGGGCCCCAGCCGCCAGCTCACCTTCCCAGCTCCGATCACCTTCTCAGCGGCATACACCGCCTGGCTGCAGCGGGGGCAGCGCTCCGAGCTGCCGATCTTCTGGGCGAACTTGGATGCGTTGGGGTTGGTGGTGGGCCTGTGGCCGGGGGCCCTGCGTGGGGAAGGATGCTGTGAGTCACCCGGAACCTACACAGGGGCTGGGCCGGGTGGGCACCGCCGCCTTCCCTGCACGCTGGGCAGGACCAGGGCCTCAGGGGGTCGTCGCCCATTTCACAGAAGGACAAACCCAGGCTCCACAGGGCGTTCTTTTCCTGGAAACCCTCTTGCCCCTGTCACCTACTCGAGCTGCGGGAGTCACGTGTCACCTCATCGAGAGGCCCTGGCCCTGCTCCCCCATTCCTGCAGCCTGTCTGTCAACAGATTCTTTCCTGGACAAATCTGCTGAGAAATCACTTCCCTTGGGCCATGACCTTGGCTGGAATGTGGCCACGCATCCGTCAGTCAGTTCCGTTCATCCCCCTGGGCCAAGGAGCTAGCCAGGGTGACAGCAGACAGCACCCTGTAGAGCCAGCCAGAGGTCAGAGGGTGCCAGCCAGCTGGTGACAGGTGGTAGAGCTGGTCTGGCTCAGACGTGCACTGGCTGGGGGACCCCTGAAGGGTCTCGGGCGCTGGGCTGGGTTTTCTCATCTGTGAAAGTGGAGCTGGGGCGTAGTCGCTCTGGGGGCCTGCTAAGCTCCCCTGGGGGGCCTGGCACAGACTGGGGGCTCCATGGTGACTGGGAAGTGGCCTTCCGAGCCGTGGCCACGTCACCAGCGGTGGCGAGAGGTAGGCGGGGTGGAGGACGGGTGGGGCACAGGGGGCCAGTACTCACTCCTCGTGCCGGATGCCCAGTGACTCCCCCTTGTCAGTGCTGAGCGTGCCGGCGCCCTGCCCGTAGCCGTAGCCCTTGGGCCCGTACTTCTTGCCGTAGCAGGACTTGCAGTAGATCTCCTCACCGTGCACGGCCACGGTCGTGCTGTCCAGGTTCTTCCTGCAGACCACTGCGGGGCGGATGGGCGGGGCACGCGAGGGGCACGTGAGGGGCATGGAGGCTCCCGAGCCCCGTCCTGCCTGACCCCTGACCCTGGAAGTGCAGTGGGGCGGCCGAAGCTGGGAGGGGGCAGAGAGGGGTCTGAGCCCCCTCTCCTGGGATGCTGGGGGCCTCAAAGACCCCCCTTCCCCTCTCAAGCCGCAGCGCACCTCTGGGTCCAGGAGGTGGCAGCAGCCTAGGCTGACCCCCAGCCAAAGGAAGCCCGGAGCGGCCTTGGCTTGGCCTTTGAGAATGAGACCACATGTCGGGCCAGGAGAGGAGAGAAAAGAAAGGAAGGAAGAGAAGGGCAGGGCTTTCCTGCTCCCAGCATCGGTGGGAGGGACAACCTGTGCACATTTGGGGGGAGGCAGGGGAAGCAGTGAGTCTGGAGGCAAGTTCAGTGTTTCTCTGGTGGGCTCACAGACTGGCCTCGGGCCACACTGGCAGCGGTTGAAGCTGCGGGTCTCAGCAGTCCCTCTGGGCCAGGAGGATCGGCGGGCAGACCCTGGAGGACGCCCGGACTCGGCTCTGTGGGCCCGGGTACCTCCCTGTGTACCCCGGAGGGGAGCCCGGCCCAGCCTTGCAGGTAAGACAGCTCAGAGCAGCCAGAGGCAAACCCCAGCTCTCCTTCCCACTCTCCCAGCGGTGTGACCTCTCTGGGGACAGTGTGACCTCGGGCCAGCTATTGTGATCGGCATGTACAACTGCCACAGAGCCTGGAGAGGTGGAGTGTCCCCCAGAAGGGGGCTGCGAAAAGCCGGCGAGTCTCACACAGGAAGTGCTTAGTGACACGCTCCACACACAGTTGGCGAATAATGAATGTTGACCTCTCTCATTAGTATCTGAAGTTAGAGCCATGGGGACCAGGGAGGGACAGGCCCAGGCTCCAGAGACTCCGCTTCATCTGTCTCTTCAGCTTTTGTCCTAGGACGTTAATCGGGTTCCACAATTTCCAAAAATAAACATCGGGATTCAGAGCCTGTCCCCTCCCTCCCAGGAGGCTCTCAGTTCAGCTCCTTGTAAGTGGCTGTTCTTGCCCTTAAAGGGCCAGTTCCTCTCCCTGGGAGCCCCAGGTTAGAGCCCTCAGACTAAATAAGGCCCCTCTCCTGCCCGTGAGATCCCCGCCTCGTTCCAGCTCTCCAGGCAGCCCAAATACGGAGCTCCCGGCCCGGCTCCAGCACGGAGGGAGAAGAGCAGCAGGCCAAAGTCCCAACATTCCCTTGCAGGGTGGGACACAGGGTGCTGCTTCCTGTAACACCCAGGCTGGACGGAGCATTCCAAGGCCCAGGAAGGCAGAGAGGGGGACAGGGGTCTCTCCCAACGGGTCTCCAGCAGGAGCCCCAGACCTCAACCAGAGGAGACCACAGGGCCTCCATGTGGGTCCCCGCCATGTGGGCTGAACCCCAACTTGTAGGTCCACGGTGGGGCCCCCGCCCTCCCAGAGCCCGCCCTGCTCACCCTGGCCCGGGCCTCCGCCCCTCCGCCTCCCCCAGGCCCTGTGGTGCACTGGCCTGCGGACTCCAGAGAGCCGGTTGTGGGGGTTCTGAATGCAGACCTCACTCTTTCTCCCAAACCGTGTTAAGCCAATAGAGAGCGGTTGGGGTTAGCTATTAGAGCTCATCAGTTCCATCTCTGGACGCTTGTGCCAAGTGAGGCCTAGGATGCCATTTGGACATGCAGAAAAGAGGTAGCCCCAGGTGAGGGGTTGCCCCACTGCGCCCCGAGTCTGAGGGTGACCTTCTCAGCTTCCAGAAGGGAAACCAGGCCGATAGAGCAGCTCAAGCCCCCAGGATGGGCAGAAGCGGGGCCGGGCCAGAACACAGTGGGACCTGAGAGCTTCTGTAGCCCACGGGGCTAAGCCTTGACGACACCCCCCTGCCCTGAGGACGAGGAGACGGGAGATGCCGGTCCCAGGGCGTGTGGCTTCCGGGAGCTTCCCTGGGCTTTCCGGTTCGGGGACTAGGTGCTTCCGTCAGCCACCACCATGGGGTGAAGTCAGACCCCCCTGCAACGACCACCCCAGCAGGGAGCCCGTCACAGCCCAGAGGTGGGCACTCGCCTCCACCCGTGGCAGGGCCCCGACCCCGACCGAGGAGCGGTACATCCCTGCCTGCCAACAGGAACTCGCTGTCCCTGCCACAACCCCAGGGGGGCAGGGCGGGAATGCTGCTCTTGTCCCTGCTCTGGGGTCAAAGGCCAAGCCCGGGGCAGAGGCCAGTCTCCCCGAGTTCATCGACTGCTCCGTCTGTCTTCCTGCTGGTCCCAGATCGAGGAAGGGAGCACAGGCAGAATCCAGAGCCAATGACTGGAAACAGCCAGAGAAGCTCTGGGGACGCGCTCTGGCCCTGCCAGCAAGAGGTCGTGGCCCTTCGCGCCAGCCAGGCCCAAACCCTGAGGCCTCTCGCTTCCTTAGAAGGGAACGTCCTCTGAGTCTGTGGGTTGCAAGCTGGACGGCTTTCACTGCAGGGGAGAAGCGGGGCTCCCTCGCCCTGAGCAGGCTGCCGCCAGCTCGCGGCCGTTCCAGGTCACGAAGGCACCTCTCACCTCGGGGACCCTGGAGCTCAGACTCCAGGGGAGACTCCGAGACGAGAGACTGTGCAGTACGGCTGTTAGTCCACGATGCCCCCTCGCACCCCAGCCCCTCTGGCTGCCTCCTCTGTGCCCCCTGAATTCCCAGCTCCCATCAACTGCCCGCCCCACAGCGGCCCCCACAGGCGGCGCCCACGGCTGGCCCCTTCTCCTCCCTGATGAAGCAACACTGGAGAGCAGAGGGGCCCCAGGGACCCCGGGGCGCCTGGACCCTCCTCCCCGCCAAGCCAAGCCCTCCTTCCCCCTCTGAAAAAAAAAAAAACATCTGGAACATTCCTCAGCCAGTGAAGTGCTGATAACGAGATGCTGCTGTTTGCGGCTCTCCCCCAGGGCAGAAGGTCGGGCTGCTGACCTCGCTCCCTCCCCATCCACCCGACACCACTGGCTGGCGGGCAGCGGGCAGGGGCGGGCCCCCGAGGCCTCTGCGGGTGGCCTGTGCCGATCCACCAGGAGGCAGGCAGTGGCAACCTGGTGAGCTGGTGGCCCATGGCCCAGCTGCTTCCCACGCAGGATCACGAGGCACCTGGAACACGGAGGCCACAGCCTCTCCCGCTGCTGCTCCCGGAAGGCAGGAGGGCAGGACTGGTTCTGGGGTCTGCTGGACACTGGCTGCGTCTTGGCCCCATCTGGCTGTGTCTGTCACTCACTGAACACTCACACTTCCTTTAAATGTTTCATTTCCCAAGCTTCGTGCTAATGTCACAACAACCTGGTCTCATTATCTCTCACGAAATAACAAGGAAACTCAACCAGACCCAGATGGACTAACGGGCCCATCGCCGCACAGATAACAGAACTGGGTCAGACGCAAACCCCGAGGACCACCCGGGTTCTGAAACCTGGGGCTTCGCTGGTCCCTCCTGCGCCCACCTGCCCACCCTCAAGGGTGACACATCAGCTGATCACGGTGAACCTGGGGAGGCCCCCCACGCCCTCCCTTCCTGGGGGCTCTGAAAGTGGCCCTGGCCAGGGCGGCAGCACAGAGTGAGGAGTCAGGGGCCAGGGCGGCTGAGGTCTCTGGGATGCGAGGCATTGGTTGCCCGGCTCCCACTCCCACAGGCTGTGACCAGAGCAGGTCTTACTCTGGGCCACTGGGAGAGGCTGTCAGAGAGCTTGGACTCCTGCTGGCCTGTCCCAGGCTGCGGGGGCAGGGAGGGAAGTGACAGGGAGTGACCGGGCTAAGTGCTGGGCGTGCGTGGGGCCGGAAGGGACTGCCCACTCTTAGCCCAGACAGGCTTCCCCTGAGGCTGCAGCAGGCACTGCCTCCGAACAAGTGAGGACTTGGGCCCACAGGCTGGTGAGCCCTTGGGCTGGACGAGCCTTCCCCTTATGGGGTGGGATGTGGCAGCAAGAGAAAGCCAAGTGGAAAGTTTTCCTAACTGAGTCTTCGTCTCTGCAGCTTGGCTCTCGGCCCCTGAGCCCCCCCACCCCCCAGGGGCCCTGGCCAGTGTCCCCTTGGAGAGCTGATCCCGCCAGAACAAAGAGGCCCTGAGTGTTTCCCGCCCCAGCTGCGGCTGCAGCCAAATGTCAAGCTGTTTACATCCCACGGGGCCAGGCCCCTGGGGAGCGGACAGGCCCGGGCGCCCCCCCAGCCCGTCCCCATGGCGACCGCGGGGCCTGGCCCCACTTACTGCACAGGAAGCAGGACTTGTGGAAACTGCTCCCCTCGCACTGCACCTCCTCCGCGAAGTACACGGTCTTCTGGCAGACCCCGCACTTCTTGCCTCCGCCCCAGTTGGGCATCCTGAAACTGGGCACAGGGACGGGAGTCGGCGTGCGGAGTGCCCAGGAGAGGGGACCGTGGCAGGGCCTGAGAAGGGGAGAGAGCGGGGCCGGGGGGGGGGGGGCATGGCCTCGAGGACGCAGAAGAAGGGAGTTGTGGGGACTCGAGAAAAAATATCCCGAGCATCTGAGAGAACCTCCTGGAAGCAGCCCTGCGGTCAGGGGAGCAGCGCGGGGCTCTGGGCAGCTGTCTCCAGGGGACAGACAGGCCCGGGATGCAGCTGGTGGCAGGGACCGCAGAGCCAAGAGACAAAGAGACCCAGTGTGTGGTGACAGCTTCCAGCCACTGCACTCAGCTAAACTCCCTGAGTTTTCCAGTCAAGGAAACCGGCGCAGTCCCTCGGTGGTGTCGGCCCGTTCAGCTGCACCCTGACAGTGATGCCAGGGGTTGCTCTGGAACCTGTGTCCCCACGTGTCCCCGCACAGCCACCAGGTCCCCCGCGCCACAGCCATCAGTGACTCCCTGGCACCCCCCACCCTGAGAGCCCCACAGCACGGCCTCTACCCGCTGTCCAGCTCTGTCCCCTGTCGCTGCACCCACACCCGGTCAGGGCTGGTGATTTCGTGCCGGTGCCCACCCGTGGGGTGCCCGGTGCAGGGCTGGGCTGTGGGAAAAGCTCAGCCAGGCCTGTGCAGAGCTGGGCGCTGCACCAGGTGGGGGGCCCTGGAGCGGGGCCTGCTGTCCCCTCCCCCGAGGCTGCTACGGCCAGCCTCCCCCATCCTGCTTCAGGCCGGCACAGCTGGAGCACATCCCAGACACACCCACAGGTAGGGTTTCCGCACCTGACCTCTCTGCCTTCTTTGGACACCCCACACCCCAAACAGGCCTGAGCTCCCAGGTCCCCGGGGGCAGTCCTCATGCCCCGCCGTTCCTTTGGCCCCTCTCTGCTCTGGGGACTCCGGGGCCCAGCTGCCTGGAGGGGCCCGCTCAGGGCTGCTCGCCCACAGAACTTGGAGGACAGTGAATCAGGACAGCAGGGAGGGTCGCTGTCTGCGTCACCACCAGGCTTCTCCTCTTCCTCGTCCCAGAGCCTGGCTCTGCCCAGACAGCCACCTCTGTCCCCAGTGACTCCAAGGGTGGCTCCAGCCCCAAGCCCAGGGCACAGCCTGGTCACGTCCCACGTCTGAGAAACGATGTCAGAGGCGGGCGTCCCCACGTGCCCCGCGGAGGCTGGTAAAGTGGCAAACCACCCCGGGCCCTTAGGTCCAGTGGAAAAACCCCATCACTCCCGGCCCTCGGCTCACGTCCCCGGGGCCAGAGAAGGACTCTGGGCAGAGCTCGTGACCCCGCCCACGGGACTGGCCGGGACCTGCCAGGTGTGTGTTGGGCTGGAAACGTGCTCTCACATCACCTGCGCCGGGCGACAGGTGGCCAGGTGCGTAGGAGAGCTGTGCTCCTTCGCAGCGTCACGGCCTGGCCAGCCCACGCCCCCAGCAGGTCAGGAGGGCAGCCGGGGAGAGAAGGGGCCTGCGGTCAGGGGTCAGGGCCGTGTCTTGGAGGTGACGCCATAAAGGCCAAGGAGAGGACCTCCCCTGGGAGCCACGGTCCTCGGCGAGGACAAAGGGCCAACGTGGAGACGGAGGCTGCCTCACCCCCACACCTCCCAGGGCTTCTTCAGGGCCCCGCGCTCTACTGGCCTCTCTACGCAGCTGACCGGCCCCACCAGGCCCGTGGCCCCCGCTCTGTGGGGTCCTCCAGCTCGGCTCACTCTCTGTGCCCTGAGCTCTCGCTCTCGGAGGCCACGGCCCCTGTGGGACTGTGTGTGACCAGGGTGGGCTGTCAGTGTCTCTTCCTTCCCTGCTGCCCCGCCCCCACCCTCACAGAGCACTCCGCTCTTCCCCTTGGAGTCAGAAATCGGAAGGTCACCCGAGGTAGACGCTGGGGTGTCCGGTTTCGGCATTTTGAGACTCTTACAGGAAATCCTATGTTCTAGCAGGTCCCCCAGCGTCACCCACAGATCCGGCCCCTTTGTCGTCGGCGGAACGATGCCAGTGCAGCTGCCAACAACCGGTGACACCAAGCTGACACGGTCTCAGGGATTTCTCTCTAATTCACTTGAAAAACAAGTTAGCACCCTTTTCTGGCACGAACCTCCCAGGAAGCCTGGTCCCAGGCACCCAGGTGAAGAGCATGGGGTACCATCGGGGTGGGGAGGGTGGGGGGAGGCCCTGGCCGAGCCCCTGCCCCAGAGGCCTGCGTGGTGGCTGGGGGACGCAGGGCCCTGTGGGCCGGGAGGCACTGGAAAGGCCAGTCTGGGAGGACGGCCTCCACCTCGGAATTTACACACTTTCCCATACATGGGAATCCCTGAGAGCTGACGTCAGACGGATTCCTGGGGAGCTGCGTTGACAGCCAGCCACTGCCACAGCCATTACTGACGAAACCACAGGCCGGGACTGCTGTCGGAACCAGGGCCCCTCCCCCGCCCCCCACGGCCCCTCCCTCTGCGCGTGTGGTTCCTGCAGCCGACTCTGCTCCAGGCTTTTCCCTTCCTGCAGAACTCGCAGCAGACCACACCGCAGACCTGAAGAACGCAGACCCGATGGGGTGGGGGACCCACCTTCTGGGGTCCCCTGTCCCCAGCCTGGCCCTGCAGCAGAGTGAAAACCTGGAGGCGTGAGTTCTAACCCCGACGCCACAGATAGCTTGTTTCCAAGCCGCTGGAAAACACTGAGCAGACGTCCTGTGTTTGCCGTCTCACAGGGGCAGGAATTTCTTTCCTGAGCGGCTCTTGAAAGAGGAAACAGAGAGCAAAGAAAATGGTAACATCGGGGCTGAGGCGGGTTTGGAGGCTGCTTGGGGTTGAGTGCCGGCCGACACTTGGCACCTGTGAGCCTCAGTTTCTTCCTCTGTAAAAGGGGCACATGGGCACCTACCACCTCGACTGTTCCCGATGGCACCCGAAGGGCTTAAGCCGGTGCCAATACCTGCTTGCTATTATCTTAAGGAAAGACCGACTCGGGCACACTGTCCGGTTGTGGGTCTCTTTCTACATCTGCCAATTCGCCTGAGTTCTGGCAAATGGCTGCCTTGGAGAAAAAAGCCCTTTCATGCCCATTAGCACCTCGTGATCCCCCCACGAAGCCAACTGCTCACAATAAGCTGGGAGCACAAGAGTTTAACCCTTCAACGGCCTACCGAGGAAGGCTTCCCGGTGAGCTTCCTACCCGGAGACCCACGTAACAGAAACCGTGCCTTCCCCTCACCGGTGCTCGCTCACTGCCCCTCGGGTAGGAAACTGGCTGGTGGCCCAGTACCGGGGCTCCGAGTGTCCACCCCGAGGGGCAGCTACCGCATCTGTCACTCATCGCCGAGCATTTGCCGAGGGCCAGCCGAGTGTCAACACTGTGCTCCCAGGCTGCAGCCCTGGCTGGACTTCTGGCCCCCGAGGCAGGCGTTTGTGACCCAAAAAGAAAACACGGGGCCAGGAAGGAAGGGGCCGGAGCGGACCAGAGGCGAAGGCCCCTGCCCTGCCGTTGGTCATTTGGATGAGCTGGTGGGTCCTCACTTTCTCTCCTGCACCCTCCCCAAGCCCTCCCACTGGGCAGGGTGCCCCTCCCCCCTCTGGCCCCACCAAGCCCTCTGTCTCATAAACTTCCTTCCCTGTCTGGACTGTCCCTCCCAGAGGCAAAAGGTCATCCCCAGCCTCAGGGCACTGAGCGCTGAGGACCCTGTCAGGCAAGAGGCCAGAGCCCAGGGAGCGGATCAGGTGACCACAGGCCAGTGTGAGCAGAGCAGCTCAGAGCCCACCACCCCCAAAACCCCACCTGGGACGCACCCCCAAGATGAGTGATGGGAGGCCAGCACCCCAGCCCCCTTAGCTCTGGGAGGGAGGGTGGGCAGGGAGAAGGCAGTGGTTGGTCCCAGGGTGTTCCTGACCTGTGCACTCTGTCCCCAAAATGACCTGAGCAATGAGACGTCATTTGTCCACTGTCACACACATAAGAAGAGGCAAATGCACCGTGAAGAAGCAGCCGGTCTGCCTTCCAAACCATCTGTCCCCGAGACGGCCGGCTGCCTCTTCCTGGTACACTTTGTGCTACGGCCTGGGGACATCCCAGTGCCACTGCCACAGGATCCCCCAAGCAGAGCCTTCCTGGCTGGGAAGAGCCTGTCCCTGTCCCCCTCCGAGGAGCAGGGGCGGGTGGCTGGAGCCCAGGCCGCAGGGGAGGGGCCGGAACTCCTCCTGCCCCAGGCCTGGACCCAGGTCCTGCCTCGGGAACAGCAGAGGGGACCATGAGTTTCAGAATGTTCTCTCCCCCACCCCCCCCCCCGGCCCCGCCTGTGGGCAGACAGGACACCTGCACAGCAGGGGCTGCTGGGGAACCTATTGCAACTGGCTTCAACTGCACTCACATCTGCCTCCTTCCTGCGTTCAAGGGCTGAGGCCCCAGAGCACCCACTGTGGGTTATCTCGGGCTTCAAAATGTCTCCATCTGGCACCAAGGTGTGGGTGACAGAGGTGAAAGGTTGAACAGATACCCCAGGCGGGGCCCCGCGGCCAGATGTGTCCCCCCCCCCAGCTCGCTGCGCAGGAAGGTGGGGGAGGGGTGGCACGGATGCCCTCATCCCCTTGCCGTACCATGTGCGTCGGGGGCGCACGAAATCGCCCATTGTTCTGCTGTGGGACCTGCGCATGGTGGGGAACCAGAGGCCAGGGTCAGGGCACGTGGGAGCCCTGGCGGGGGAGGGACCCAGCGCCTCCCGGAAACAGAAGCGCGGCCCAACTAACTGCGGCCACTTGTCCTCACTCCGCGCCCACGACCTGGCAGCGCCACTTCTCCTTCCAACTTTCTTGGCAGAGGGAAGGACCCGAAGGCGCTCAGGACGCACGGCGCTAGGGGTGCAGCGGAGGGGCCGGGGCGCATGGAGTTGGTTAGGCCGGGGGCGCGCAGCTGGGGGCGCACTCAGCCGACGCTCTCCTCTGGCACGCTCACCGGGCGCACTCACCTGGCGCACTTACCTGCAGCGGGATCGGGCGGCTGGGCGGGAAGCGCTCAGAAGCTGCTGCGAGATGCGCCCGCGCACGCCGTTTTGTTCCGCTCGGGCAAGGCGTGTCCCGGCCCCGCCCACCTGTGGGCTCTGCACACTGCACCACGGCAGGGTGACGTCAGGGCGCCCGGCAGCTGCGCGGGGCCCCCCCAGACCTGGGGCATTGGGGGCCTGGGGGCCTGGAGACCGGCTCCCGCCTGCCCTGCGGACCCACTGTGCGTTCAGAACCTCTCAGGGTTTTCCCGTCAGCCAGATGGTAAGGTGAACCTGTGATCTGAGACCCCTGATAACCTTATGCCCCAAGGAATGGTGGGCGCGGGCCTGGAGGGGGGCTCTCACTGTGGTGGGCCCTGGTGGCAAGGTGTAAGGGACACACTTGGCGCCAGACTGAGGCAGGTCTGAGCTCTGATTCTGCCCCCTTGCTGAGCTCCCGTCCTGAACACAGCCCCTCTGGGCTTCAGTCCTCATCTTTAAAAGTGGGGGACAGACAAGACCCTATGGGACACAGTGGCCCCGCCCTTTCATGGATGCTCAGTAAATTAACTGGCCGCCTCCCCCCAACAGCTCTGTCCCCCTCAGTTCCCGCAGCCACCCCTGCTATCCAAGGGGGCCCCGCCCCCCTCCAAGAGCAGCAGTTTGGAAAAGTGGGGCCTCCAGCTTCAGCAGGGCAGACTCACACCCTCCTCCAGCCTGGGCTTCCTCGGAAACCCCAAGCTTCTGAGCTAGCCCTCCCCAGGAGTAAAGTGAAGCAACTTATAAGTCAGAAAAATAAGTATTCACCCAGCGTTTCTTGCTTTCTGCCATCAGAAACATCGTTTCTTTGGCAGCCCTTCCTGTACACAGGGCTTCCCGAGATGAAGATGTCCACAAGGACACGCAACCAGGGCTTCTTGGAAGGAGGCGAAGCCAGGGCAATTCCTGGCTGCGCCGCCCTGAGCAAGCAGTCCATGAGCAGGTACAGAAATTAAATTCTAGAACTTCAGGCAGAGTTGGACGCCATGGGCCTGCTGCCCAGAGGTCATGCTCTCAGGAGACCACCCCCCTCCACCCCTCCAGTTCTCAGGATCCTGGAGAGATGAGCTTCGGAGTCTTGCTCCCCCCCCACCCCCCAATTTCACAGCAAAACTGCTGCATTTTCTCCTCTGGTCCCTTTTGTCCTCTGTCCTCAGTCCCCTGAGTTCTGGGGCTGACTCAGTAAAGTGTCACCTGCGCCGTGAAGTGTCCTGTGGAGGGTGTCTAAAAGGAGAGGAGGCTACTGTGCCCCTCTGGCATTTCCCCCACAGGGTCTAACGCACCCGGTGCGGGGAGGGGCTGGGTAAGGTGTTAGGCCCACTGCTCTGCTTTGATGTGACAGCTTTGATGTGACGTTTGGGCAGCCTGGGGGCTGTGGCTGCTGTGTTCCAGACCACGGGCATAAAGCCAGTGTGGTCTCAGTGAAGTCGGATGCACAAATAGTTCAGGCATCTCAGTGTGTGTAAAAGTTGTTTACACTCTACTGTCGTCTGTTAAGTGTGCGGCGGCACTGCCTGGAACACGATGCGTGTACCTGAACGCAGAGATGCAGGATTGCACCCTTGCCGGTGCCCCTCCCCTGGCTGGAGCGCCGCCCATTCCCGGTCAGGGCACAGCCAGAGGCAGCCAATCAGTGCTTCTCTCTCTCCCCGCACCCTCCCCCCCACCTAAAAGCAATGGGAAAAAATATCCTTGGGTGGAGATAAAAAATACTTTCATTTTTTATTTTAATTGATCAAGTACAGTTTTCTGCCTTTTACTCCCATCCCAGCCCACTGCCTCAGCCCAGATGAAAAATACTTTCTAAAAATTGCTAGCCATCATCTAAGCCTTTGGCGAATCATAATCTGTTTGCCGGAGGAGGGTCTGGCCTTCCGTCTGTGAAACGGACAGTGACCACCGAGTGTACTGTGTGAGCGAGCCTGTCTCCACCACGTGTGGAAGCCGCTCCAGGCAAACTGGAGCTGGTCACCCTGCGAGTCCACCCGCAGGTTGTCAGGGCCACGGAGCTGGAGATAAAGGAAGCCTCGCAGGCCCAGACTGGCCTGCTGTTTTTCCAGAACCGTCCAGCTTCTCGTCATACTACCCTTTGGCCTTGGACACCGCCTTCACACATAGGAGGACTCACGGGTCAGGGAGGACCTCGGGGTCCCGGTGACCAGAGGCGTGTGGGAGTCACCCACCAGGCGCGCCGGCCCGGGCCTGACAGAAATCACAGAAAGGCCGTTGGTACTTGTGACTTCATGCACACACGCACACACACACACACACACACACGTGTGCACACGCCAAAGGCTGCTCCGGCTGACCTCTGGCCCACGGCATTGCCCAGAGCAGCCCGCCCGCCAGGCTGCCCCGCTGCTGCCCCGACAGCGCAGCCGGAGCTGCGAGGGCCCCGCCCCCTCGGAGCAGCGCGGGGCGTCTCTGAGGCTCCTTGCTCTCCGGATCTTCCTGGATCGGCTGTGACAAGGCAAGTCCAAGGGGAGCTGGGGACCAGGCCCAGCAGTTCTGAGAAGGACCCTCAGTCCCTGCCTCCGCGTCCCCGAGGGCTGGGCCTGGGGCCTGGGGTGGGGGCTGCAGGGGGCTGAGCAACAGCCTTGCAGAGGCCGGGGAGTCTGGGCGGCCACGCAATGCTCGGAGGCAGGAAAGGGGAAATCCGTGTGCACCGGGACCGAGGGGGATGACAGAGACCCGGATCCGGGCCACTGGGAAGGCCAAGGACACACAGGGCTGCTGACAGGCTGGCCCAGGACCTCCTCAGGGGCAAGGCCAGGGGCCCCGGGAATGTGAAACCAGGAGATTCGGTTTTTGGTGACCACTTCCCCTCTTCTCCCCGGTGCTTGAGCCCAGGGGCCACTTCCGCTCCCACTGCCTGTGGCCTCCGGCCTCCGACTACTTAAGGGCACTCAGGAGCTACCACAGGCCTGGGCAGGACTCTGGCCACAAGCAGGCAGGCGGGTGGGCGGGCGGCTGAAGGCCAGGAGAGGGTCCCCAGGTGGACACAGCACCAGTGTGTCCGCTGTCCTGGCCCCTGATCTGTGCCCCCTCCTGCTCCGTCCAGGACACGCCCCCTCCTCTGTGGTCACAGGCCAGACAGCAGAGGGCTGGGGCAGGAAGTCGGCTGGAAAGACCTGAGGGGAAGGCCCAGGGCACATCTGTTCCAGCAGGGGCGGCCCTGTGAAGTCAGGCTCCGGGGGCTAAGGAAGGATGGGGCCTCGAGACAGGGCTGACCTGCTGGGAAGGTCTCGGAGGGCAGGGGCCGTCGCCTGCTCTGCTCAGCAACTCACCACCCGCCGCCGGGCTGGTGTTTTATTAGTGCTCCATAGTTCACCGGTAAATTCATCTCCCTAGTCGGCAAAGTAAGGAGCGGGAGCAGCGCCGCCACCTGCTGGTGAAGTTGTGAATGACGCTTCTCCACAGCCTCAGCGGCCAGCCCTAAGGAATCCGGGTTCCTCAACCCTGTTTTCTCCCAGGATCACAGGATTCTGACAGTTTGTGGAGACATTCTAGGTTTCTAGTAGGGAAGCCAAAGTGTCTGGGACACCGGTGGGAGACAAGGCCTCTGAGGGTAGTGGGAGCTCTGTTCTGTCCCGGGCCCTCCTCTCCCCGAGGGCAAACGTCCACTCCTGGATGGATTCCCTGTCTTCCCTCCGGGGACACAGGAGCACCGCCCGCCCGTGCCCAGCAGAGGGCGCTGGGGAGGGGCCCCGCGGGAGGAATGGGGGAAGGCAGCCCTGGGGCTGCTGGCCGGAGCAGAGGAGCGGGTCACGAGGGCGCTCGGGCGTGCCGGCCGCGGGCGGAGTTCCAGTTACCCGTCACTGGACGCTGCTCCCAACTTAGTGGCCGAAGGCAACAACAACTCTTTGTTCTTCCTGCGCGTGGTTTTGGGTTCGCTGAGGTCAGCGGGCAGCTCTTGCTCAGGACCTGCCATGGGGCCGCTGCGCTCAGGGGGTGCAGGCTGGGGTCATCCGCAGCTTTCTCACCCCTGTGGCCGGCAGCCGATGCCCCCTCCTGGTCTCTCCGCTGGGCCTGCACTCGCCTCACAGGGCGGCCGGGCTGCCCAGAATCCCCAGAGGGAGCCTGTTGCAACCCAGCCTGGGAAAGCCGGGCTTGACTTGGACTCTCCCAGCTGGGACAGGCACGAAACCCCACCCAGCCTCAAGGGCAGGGGACAGAGACCCCGCCTCTGGACGTCTGAGTAGCAAGTCTTGGAAGAGCTAGTGGTATGGAAACAGTGGTACGGAAAATACAGTAGCCACAGGCAGGAAGGTCGTTCCGGTGGCTGCTGTCACTGGCGGTAGATCCAGAGATGCCTTTTCTGGGACGGAAAGCAGCTTCAGCCAGTGAGCCCAGCTGAGAGGAAGCCTGAGGCCGTGGGGGCAGCCACTGGGCCCCCCCACTAAGCCAGGTGAAGACAGCTCTCTGAAGGGAAGGTCTAAGAAAGGTGTTTCGGCGGCTTCTCCCAAAGGGCGGCGGGAGGCTGAGATGGCGGCCAGCACCTCTCGGCCACGGTGGGGCCTCATGGGCACTGAGGGGCCTGTCGTGTGAGGCCCGGCTGGGGCTGATTCTCAGAGCGGAAGGACTGGCTTTGTGTCCCCACAGCCAGTGGCCAGGAAGCCAGTGGTGGAGCACAGCTGTGGTCAGGGACCAGGGAGCAAGCGCCCAGCACCAGGAAGCTGCGGTGTGTGGAGAGGATACGAGCCCACATGGCAGCTCTCAGTTTGGGGCGGCGTAGAGACAGGAAGCCGTCCACAGGCCAGGACAGCGCTGGGTCAGAGGCCATATCAACTCCCAGGGCTGGGAGGCAAGGTGTTGCCGAGACGTTGCAGATAAAATGTGAGTCATGGCAGAAAGGCCCAGAAGCACAGACACGGCCGGTGGGGGGAGGAGGAGACTGTCCAGTTGCGTCTGCGCTGACTGATTCCCTGCACCACCTGGTGTCCCTAGGTGATGGTTACATTTCACAGGTCCACCTGACGGGGCCATAGGGTGCCCAGATGTTTGGCCAGATTGTTCAGGGTGTTTCTATAAAGGTGTTTCCGCATGTGATTAACATTTAAATTGGTG